TTTTTTTCCCATGAAGAGGTATGGATAAATTTATTCGATGGAAACCTAAGTAGAATAGATTAGATCCACCAGAAAACCCTAAAAATTATATTAAAGGAAGAAGTAAGAGAAGAGAGGGGAGCAATGTACTTGGCTGACATTGAGGGTACGTTGTTCGGTGGTAAGATGGAGGTTGTCGCTGATGAAGACGAGCATGTCGGTGCCAACGCCTGAGGGCAAGCAATCGACAGTGGTGATGGAGTGTTGGCACTGGCGGAAGGGAAGGGAAGTCAGCTTGGCGACAATGTTTTGGGCGCCTTGGATCTTCTGGCCTTCGAAGGAAAGCATGGAAGCCTCCTGATAGAGATTGGCGAGATTGTTTCACGAATGCCTTGCCACTGCGTCTGAATCCATTTTGCCTCATTTTCTTTTCTATTCTCGCGGACAAAAGAACAATTAGGGCACCCCTCTCCACTGCTTATCTGGAAAAAAAGTAAATAAATAAAAGTTAAAATTCACAAACCGCAGATAAATTATTTAAAAAAAATAAAACTAAAAATATAACTGCCATTTCTTGTAAAACTGCCGAAAAAATAATTTTAAAGAAAAAAATAAACTTAACTGCGCTTTGTTACAAAAACCGCAGGAAATTGTGGGGTTTTTCTGAATCCCGGGAAAGAAACCCCTTCTATATTATATTATTTTTGTAGTGAGAATGTGTTAAAGTTTTTTTTTAACCAACAATCATCCTAACACGTGTATAAACTCTAGAAGGGATATTTAGTCCTATGTTTTACTCCAATTTGAAAGCTCTTTGACTTGAGGTTGATAAGCCAAACCAACCATCAAAATGTTGCTCGAAGTGAATATAAGCATTTGATGATGGAAAACATTATGTATATTTATATGTGGACAATCGCAAGTTGAGAAAGTTCTTCTTTTAAACTTCTCAATTAGCAAAAAGGATTTGTAATGCTAACTTTCTTGAAGCACTGAATACAAGAGAATTCAAGATGAAGGTTAATGATTGTTATGTCCTAAAGTAAAAAATATTATGTCCTAAAACTTTATAAAAAAATATTGTTTGTGTTCATAAGCAACTAAAGGAGTAAATTTTATTGTATTCTTCTTATGACTGAATAACTTTCTTAGTTAACAACCTAATGATCTTTTGATAGCATCCTTTTGTAATTTCAAGTGTTTTATAAAGAAGTGATTATGATTTGAACAATATTAAATGATTTGATCAAGAATAATTGCATTTCAAACAATATTTAAGTTTTATTTTAGAGTGATTGTAATACTCAAATTTTAGCAATATTCGATTTTTTCAAAAACGACTTCATTTCAAAAAATAATTGAGTTTTTAAGCTAAGAATGGCATTTATCCAACTAATATTCTAATTATTTTGGTTTAAACTCTCGGATCGTCCTTATATTGGTTGGGAAATCTCAAGTGGGTTATCGTTTTTGCAACTTTCTCAATTGGGTCCTTATATTTAAAAAATTGAGCCAATTAAGCTCTGTCTGTTAAGTTTTCACATACGGCGTTAACAAATGCTTACGTGGTGTAAAATGTTATATTACGTGAAATTTTTTATTTATATTAACCGTTTTTTATGTGGCACAATATTGAATTATTTAAAACTTTATTATTTTATAATATTTTATCCTAATCAACAGTTCTATCGCACATGTGATAGATCTTGCCCCAATCTAGGATGCAGACCAACATTAAGACAATGGTCAACTCAACCACAAATGGCCACCACGATGTAACGCGTGTCTAGGCACAACCACGAGCACAACAACAACGCTGCCACCGTCACTAGATAGACACACCATTGTTGCGACACGAAAACATATCCTCCACACTGTGAGCCAGGATCAAACTAGACCGCATGACAGAGGCCAGCCAATGCGACGAGAAATCGTCGCGTCTTTGGCGGCCATCGCAGATGACGCTTGCGAACCACCTACAGAAAAACCAAACCACATGGCAAGGCCAGTCCTCCACTATGACGGAGAACGATAAGGGAGAAGAAGTTGTCACGCTTCCACCACAACACTAGAAGTAAAAAGAAGAAGCTTGAAAAACAGTGGTGGTAGTATTAGAGTTCTAGGTTCGCGAAGAAGATGAGGTAGAAAGGAGATTTCAAATTCTTAGGGTATCTGGGTTGCCGATTGGCGTTCGAAACCCACCAAGAAATAAAACAACAGAATTAGGAAAATTTTCCCAAATTTTAGGGTTTTTTAACAAAAAATTCCAAATTTCTGGTGTCTGATTTTTGGTGTAATGTGAGATCATGATTGAAACCAATTGGACTCCAGATCAAGGTTGGCACCAAGGACAATAGAAAGATGAATTGTATTTCATAATTAGGGGTTGGTTTAATACATCATTTGGTCCCACTTTTAGGGGTTTGGTTCAAAGTGATCCTACCTTTTAAAAAAGTTCATAAAGGCCCCATGTTTCGTTAAAAAATGTTCAATCTGGTCCTTTTTGCTCACGCTGTTAAAAACATAACGGTGCAAATGCCACTATGGTCAAACCTGAGTGAGTTGTGCAAATTTGATCCCTACTTTAAGCCACGTATTCACCGCCATCTTCACCGGCAGCCGTCCTCTCCAACGCATCACGCATCACCACCAAAGCTATGCATCGAGAACGCGAGAAACCCTAGCTCTCCATGGTGCTATACGACGACACTTGAACTTGGCTTCTGGTTTGCTTGCAAGTCTGATTGTGGTCGTAGGTGGAGGCAAGAAGCGGCGCGGTTAGTGGTGGAGAAGAGTGGCGATTCGCAATCTACAGCAGCGGCGTATGGTGGACGATTCTGTGGTGGAGATTGGACGGCAGTGCTGCTGGTGCAACGACGATTTGACTGGTGCGAGGGTGAAAATGGTGAAGATTGATGGTCGCGGCATAGCAAGGGATCGCGTTGGGTGGTGGCGCGAGAACGAAGGTGAGATGCAAAGGTGATGGCGGTGCAACAGAAGGGAGAAGACGCTTTGGTGGTGGCGCGTGATGCGTTGGAGAGGACGGTTGTCGGCGAGATGGCGGTGACAGCGCTGGATGGTGCGGCGGCTAGGGTTTCTTGGAGAGAAATTAGGGTTTGTCTGGAGATGGTGGTAATGTGGTAGGGACTTTTTTAAACCTTTTTTAAATTAAAAAATCATTTAAGTCCACCTATTTACGTCTTTGCGTGCCACGTGCTTATGAGATACCACGATGACATTTGCACCGTTATGTTTTTAACGGCGTGAGCGGAAAAGAACAGATTGAACATTTTTTAACGAAATATGGGGTCTTACCGAACTTTTTCAAAAGGTAAGATTACTTTGAACCAAACCCCTAAAAGTAGGGAGATGTATTAAACCTNAGTTTTTTTTTAACCAACAATCATCCTAACACGTGTATAAACTCTAGAAGGGATATTTAGTCCTATGTTTTACTCCAATTTGAAAGCTCTTTGACTTGAGGTTGATAAGCCAAACCAACCATCAAAATGTTGCTCGAAGTGAATATAAGCATTTGATGATGGAAAACATTATGTATATTTATATGTGGACAATCGCAAGTTGAGAAAGTTCTTCTTTTAAACTTCTCAATTAGCAAAAAGGATTTGTAATGCTAACTTTCTTGAAGCACTGAATACAAGAGAATTCAAGATGAAGGTTAATGATTGTTATGTCCTAAAGTAAAAAATATTATGTCCTAAAACTTTATAAAAAAATATTGTTTGTGTTCATAAGCAACTAAAGGAGTAAATTTTATTGTATTCTTCTTATGACTGAATAACTTTCTTAGTTAACAACCTAATGATCTTTTGATAGCATCCTTTTGTAATTTCAAGTGTTTTATAAAGAAGTGATTATGATTTGAACAATATTAAATGATTTGATCAAGAATAATTGCATTTCAAACAATATTTAAGTTTTATTTTAGAGTGATTGTAATACTCAAATTTTAGCAATATTCGATTTTTTCAAAAACGACTTCATTTCAAAAAATAATTGAGTTTTTAAGCTAAGAATGGCATTTATCCAACTAATATTCGAATTATTTTGGTTTAAACTCTCGGATCGTCCTTATATTGGTTGGGAAATCTCAAGTGGGTTATCGTTTTTGCAACTTTCTCAATTGGGTCCTTATATTTAAAAAATTGAGCCAATTAAGCTCTGTCTGTTAAGTTTTCACATACGGCGTTAACAAATGCTTACGTGGTGTAAAATGTTATATTACGTGAAATTTTTTATTTATATTAACCGTTTTTTATGTGGCACAATATTGAATTATTTAAAACTTTATTATTTTATAATATTTTATCCTAATCAACAGTTCTATCGCACATGTGATAGATCTTGCCCCAATCTAGGATGCAGACCAACATTAAGACAATGGTCAACTCAACCACAAATGGCCACCACGATGTAACGCGTGTCTAGGCACAACCACGAGCACAACAACAACGCTGCCACCGTCACTAGATAGACACACCATTGTTGCGACACGAAAACATATCCTCCACACTGTGAGCCAGGATCAAACTAGACCGCATGACAGAGGCCAGCCAATGCGACGAGAAATCGTCGCGTCTTTGGCGGCCATCGCAGATGACGCTTGCGAACCACCTACAGAAAAACCAAACCACATGGCAAGGCCAGTCCTCCACTATGACGGAGAACGAGAAGGGAGAAGAAGTTGTCACGCTTCCACCATAACACTAGAAGTAAAAAGAAGAAGCTTGAAAAACAGTGGTGGTAGTATTAGAGTTCTAGGTTCGCGAAGAAGATGAGGTAGAAAGGAGATTTCAAATTCTTAGGGTATCTGGGTTGCCGATTGGCGTTCGAAACCCACCAAGAAATAAAACAACAGAATTAGGAAAATTTTCCCAAATTTTAGGGTTTTTTAACAAAAAATTCCAAATTTCTGGTGTCTGATTTTTGGTGTAATGTGAGATCATGATTGAAACCAATTGGACTCCAGATCAAGGTTGGCACCAAGGACAATAGAAAGATGAATTGTATTTCATAATTAGGGGTTGGTTTAATACATCATTTGGTCCCACTTTTAGGGGTTTGGTTCAAAGTGATCCTACCTTTTAAAAAAGTTCATAAAGGCCCCATGTTTCGTTAAAAAATGTTCAATCTGGTCCTTTTTGCTCACGCTGTTAAAAACATAACGGTGCAAATGCCACTATGGTCAAACCTGAGTGAGTTGTGCAAATTTGATCCCTACTTTAAGCCACGTATTCACCGCCATCTTCACCGGCAGCCGTCCTCTCCAACGCATCACGCATCACCACCAAAGCTATGCATCGAGAACGCGAGAAACCCTAGCTCTCCATGGTGCTATACGACGACACTTGAACTTGGCTTCTGGTTTGCTTGCAAGTCTGATTGTGGTCGTAGGTGGAGGCA